AACACTGTAGATGGGAAAGAAGTGCCCTATCATGAAACACAGAAATGATGGCTGCTTGTCCAGGTGCCAGGTTCTTGTTGTACCTTCTTGTTTTGTTTTGGCATTGTCCCAGTTGAAGTGCAATGCCTGCCCAGTGGTTGGGTTTGCACCCCTTCTCAGCAAGGATCGGACCCAATGCAGGACCAGATGGTCAAGGATCGGACCCAATGCAGGACCAGATGGTGCTGTGTTTGTTCACGATAGAGCAGCAGGATCCTGGTGGCGTCTACGGCCAGGTTCATGCATTCCGAGCATGCAAATATCGGCAGTGGGGTGTGTGATGCACCCCTTCTCAGCAAGCATCGGAGCCAATGCTGGGCCGGAAGTGCACCCGGGCATGAATTTTGTGCCCAAATACGCGTCCGGTTACTGAGCCGAGCAGGACCTCCATGTGGGGTCTCAGGTAGCCCCAAACGCAAAATTCGAAAAAAAAAAAGTCGGCAAAAAAACTATGTTGTGTAGAGTTGCAATGCAAACAACTTTTGGCTGAGGGACACCTCACAATTCCTTACGAAGCGGAGATGCAAAAGAAAATTAAAAAAATCAGACTAAGGCCCCCCTCTTACACGCCTCCCAGCCCCTTTAAGCGTCATTTCTACCCACCTTCCCGCCTCCTAACGGACATGATAATAAAAAAAGTGCCCAGATCTGGGCTGCTTTTGGTGGATTCAGGAAATCCCCACCGATGACAAAATCAGACAAAAGAAAAATCCCGAAGTTTTGCATACCTCGAGTACCCAGGTGGGTGAACGGCAGCCATTTTAGTCCGGTAGCACTATTCATGCGAAAGCAGCCAAAGAACCCAGGTGACCTGCAGTCATTCTGGTCTTGTAGCACTATTCATCCAAAGAACCCAGATTGATGCAATCACGATTCTCTAAGTTTGCCTGGGCGAGGAACTGGTGTGTTTGGAAACAACAACGAAGAAGTTTTTTTCTCGAGGACGGGCATCCATGGCACTGCTTTCAACGTGTTATTCTTGACCGCAGACAGCCTTCGCAGGATGCTAATGACTCGAGCGATTCTGAGGGAATGGGTGGAAATGGGATGTCAGTTACAGATTCCCGCACCTGAAGAGCACGGTGTAAGCAGGAGTGGGCTTGTTAAAAGTTGTGGAAATGATGGGCACCATGTATTTGCCGGAGAGTTGAAGAAGTATGTACTATGTACTGAGCCTACTACTCCTTTGCGGCTCCCCTGGCGGGCCTGAGTCGTATTATACACTGATTGTCGTCTTCATGTGGTCTTACGTTATCAACTAAATACAAACTTTCATGTATTCGACGGAGAGTTGAAGAAGTATGTACTATGTACTGAGCCTAATGCCAAAAAGTAGGAAAGAGAAATCTAAAAGAAGTATGTAGTATGTACTATGTGCTGAGTCTAATGTCACGAATCTAATTTCGACGTTACCCTGTGCAACTATGTCGTAGAAATGATGGACCATGTATTCGCTGGAGAGTCGGAGAACCAGAAGTATGGACTATATGCTGAGCCTAGTGTCACAGAGTACGAAAGAGAAATTTAAACGAAGTATGTACTATGTACTGACTCTACCGCGTGCTACTATGTCGTAGGAATGATGGACCATGTATTCGCTGGAGAGTCGGAGAACCAGAAGTATGGACTATATGCTGAGCCTAGTGTCACAGAGTACGAAAGAGAAATTTAAACGAAGTATGTACTATGTACTGACTCTACCGCGTGCTACTATGTCGTAGGAATGATGGACCATGTATTCGCTGGAGAGTCGGAGAACCAGAAGTATGGACTATATGCTGAGCCTAGTGTCACAGAGTACGAAAGAGAAATTTAAACGAAGTATGTACTAGGTACTGACTCTACTGAGCATAATGTCACAAAGTATGAAAGAGAAATACAACCCTGTGCCACTATGTCATAGAAATGATGGACAGTTCATCTGTGGTGGGACTGTCCGGCGTCTGCAAGGATTTGGAGATGGTGGGCGAACCGCTGGGACAGCATATCCAACAATGCATTCCCATGGAACAGATACTGGTTTTTGCTGGGAAGCGTGCCAAATGAATTCAGATTAGAGGAGGGTTGGGGCTACGTGGCGCAGGTGATAAGAGCAATTGGCTTCACAGCGATATGGCAGAGCCAAAATCAGCTAATCTTTGATAAGGAGGAAACAGCAGACAAGGCCATGGTGAACCAATTTAAATGCCAAATCAAGCTTGCTATACTAGCTGACTGGCGTAGGAAGGTGACCACGGTTCCTAATAAGGAGAAAGGAAGGAGTTGGTTCGAAAGAACCTGGGCAAGAGACGGAACAGTGGTTATGATTGGAAGTAGTAGCTCGTTGATTTTTGCAGGGTGGCTTGTCAAGTAACTCAGAAACAATGAAGAGGAGGAGGGTTGGTAGAGGGTAGAGAAGATGGTAGAATGAGAACTCAGGGATAACCAGGACACTCAGTTAAAGATCCGCAGTAGGAGGCAGGCGCAATTTCGAGGATAGAGAGTGTCCAGGTGTAGGAGGACCTTGGGTCCACCTTGTCGAAGTAGACAGGAATAATGGAGGGGGCGTTACCCCGATTAGATTGCTAGGCTAGGTTGGGCTGGTTTGCCTGGTGGGTGGAAGTTTTGGTCTGTTTTGTTTTTCTCTGTTTTTTTGCTTTTCGAGTTGTTCTCTGGCAGAGTAAGCCTGCCAGTTGGCCTTTTCTGGAATTGATTGCTGTAATTGGGTCTGTTTTTTGTGGTTGTCCGGTAGCAAAGCCTGCCGGTTTTTTGTTCTGTTACGTGTTGGCTTGGCCAAGTGTCGTTGGGGTTAAACCCACAACCTATCCTGGGTAAAGGTCCCAGTGGTGACGAGTTTTCTTTCCGGGTTGTTCGTGAGGAATTCCCGGCCTCATGGTTGATTTCATGAGAATGGACTCCTCGTTTTTCCCAAATTAACAAAAAAAAAAAAAAAGGAAATGATGGACCATGTAGTCTTCTGGAGAGTCGGAGAACCGGGAGAAATATGTACTATGTACTGAGCCTAATGTCACAAACTACGAAAGAGAGAGTCTAACCCTCCTATCTTGCCTACTTGTGAATGTGTTGTTTGTACTCTATTTGGCTGCCCAGATACCTTATGTGGATCTCACACCCCTGCAAGCTGCGGTTGGGGTGGTGAACAAGGTAAGGTGACTCGTCAACTTTTGCATATGGTTTATCCGAGGAAATATTGATTGCGTGGGGTTTAAAGGCAGGAAATATTGATTTGAAAAAAATTGCATCACCTGTTCAATCTTCTTTCGTCCTCTTTTCATTTTTTTTCCAGGGTGACCATCTGTTGAAACAAACAGCCTTTCTCGAGCCTATATGCAGTTCTTTCAAGTTCCAACACCTTTGTGGTCGCCGCTTTGCGATTACTGCCACTGAGATATTGTGCCAACTATGGCTCGATGCATTCGTAATTTTGTAGCCTTTCTGGTTAGTAGATCAGGGTTTGCATACCTGCCGACCGCCGACCGTTTTGCAGCCGACCAGTAGGGGCGACCGGTCGGCGGTCCGCTGACCATTCAGAAAACAGCCGTCCACTGATTTTTTTCAAATCTGAGTTGGGAGCTGTACTGCGGTTGCTGAGTACAGCCCAAA